ACACACACACACACATAAAATGAACTTTTAGTGAATTCCCTTTCACTCTAAGTTTGTAAGTATTAAGATAAATCTCTTCTGAAATGCACAGTCACTTCAATTATTATCATAGTTAATCAAAAAATACTGATGTATTACGAATGTTGAAAAAATAATCATTAAACCTTTCAAAATCAGTGTGCCTCTGAATGAGATGGAAGTGGTAGTACTGTCTCAATTATCTTGTGTCATTGAATGAAAAGTTACCTGTTACAGAATGACACAATGCTGAATGGGAATTACCAAGTAACGGGAGGTCCTGGGATTACACTGGGCAACACTCAAACCATGCTGTGGCCCTTAACCTGTGTGCCTGTGGTCAGAATCCCATGTGGGAAGGTGCTGTCGTGGTCATGTTAATGAGGATTGATTAGTGGAGGGCACATCGTCAGTGGATCTCTTTTAGGATGGGAGGATCTTCTTCTTTTTCAATGATCTCCTCTTTCCAGAGCATCCTGGCCTTCTCTGGGGACTGCTCCCTCCTGAGAAGCTGTCCAAAGGACAGCAGACAAAGTCTCGCCATCCTGGTCTCTAAAAAGTGGACGTTCCAGACAGGTGTTGTTCCCGGCAGGTCACAGGGTCGCCAGCATCCTTCGGCCCATCAATTCCCTTTCAGTCTTCCTCATTCGCTGCCAGCTTTCCAGAGCATCCGAGATGACTGAGAATGCCACGGCCGTGGCTCAGGGGCACCTCATCCTCAGAGTGCAGCCTTGCGTTTCAACTCTATGAAAGAGATCTTGTGCAGCAGATGGCCCCCAATAGGCTGTTTGATGTCTTGACTAATGCTTCCATAGGTTGTGTGACTTTGTGACTGCTGCACCGATTGGGGATCCAACCAAATGACAGCCTTGGCAGCTTTAATCTTTTCCCCATTTATCATGATATTTGTATGAAAATACAGGAATGTGGTACGGGAACAGCGTGGTATCGGTGTGCTGTGATATGGTATGGTATCAAAGTAACACGAGACTGGTTCGTTTTCCTGCTGACAAGACACATGGAGCTATGCTAGAACCCTGGAGCCAGAGGAGCCACATGGAGACCCATGCCTGTGCTGAGATGCTTGGGAATCCACACGACTTTCCACCCACTGGCCTGTGATCTTCCTGAATTCAGTGTTATTGCACAGCTGCGTGAGTCTGAAGAGGAATTTATGGACCAATATTGACATATGGTATAATATTGGACTTAAGAACTTGATTTGGACTGGGCTGGGCAGTTTTCTTAATACACTATTACTCTCTGATATATATATATTTAAAGTAACATGGGACTGGTGTGGAATTAACATAGTATCTGCCTGGAAGCAATGTGGTATTGGTATGGAGGTAACATGTTCTGTCATGAACGTAACAGTGTGAGATGTAGTGGTTTTGAGCTGCTGACCTTGTGGATGCAGCCCAACGCATAACCACCACATGGCGAGGGCCAACAATAAGAAGTTTTAAAACATAACTCTATGGACCAGTTCTGCTCTCTCAGAGGATCCCACAGCACCACCAGGTGAGGTCTGCCTGGGGCTATCACTCAGACACTAGGCTAAGTCAGGAAGCAGGGCTGCAGCATCATGGAAACCTTCATGACACAAGAATGTCAGGATGCCCAGCTACAGTTTCTCAATGGAGTGTTCTCTTGGTCTGCACATGTCTGTGTTTCCATCCCCCTGCCCACCCCGCCCCATTCTATGCGCTCTGTTTACACCACGTCATCACCAAGGCAGCGTGGATATTGCCGACTCAATCATGGGTCTTCTGCATTGGGATTGGGAACAAGGAAGCCACCTGAGAGGGCCAGACCCGGGCTGTCGGTGGACGGGGAAGGCTTCCCAGTGAACCACCACAGGACAGCCCTTGCTTCCCTCACAGGGTCAACCTGCTGTGGACATGCTGGGCAACCTACTTCCTCAGAGAAATGGCCTGGCCTTTTCCTGACTATCTCCTGGAAACTTCTTCCAAGAAAGCCCTTTTTGACCAACCTGTGTCCTTCCAGAATATCTTCTTCTCAAGATGACCCTGGCGAAACCCCTACCAACTCTCTCACCATTCACCTGCCCGCCTGGCATCCACGCCTTGGATTTCACTAGCCCAACAGATGCCCTCGGAAGCCAATGATTCGATTACCCTTTATTGGAAGGGGCCCTAACGAGTTCGGAGCGTGGAAGCGGCGGTCAAGGGAATCAGGATGCGTGGCGTTGGGAAAGTCGACTGACTGCACGCGACTGATTTCAAAGTGCTGAGGAGCACGGACATCACTTTGAGGACGAATGTAAGCCCGACCCAAGCCACGGTATCGTCACTCCCCTCCGACGCGTGTGGAAGGTGGGCACCGAATGAGGAAGAGCAAAGAAGACCAGAGGCATTGGCACAGCGGTGCTGCCGTCCGTACCACGGCTGCCCAGAGAGCAAACGAACCTGCTGCCTGGACGAAGTCCAGCCAGAGCGCAGCCTAGCAGCCAGCGGGATAGTGAGATGTCACCACACGTGCTTTGGACAGGCTGTCCGAGAAGACCGGTCCCCAGAGAAGGGCGTCGTGCGTGGGAACGCAGAGGGACCGTGAAAGAGAAGCAGACCCAGGGAGAAGGGTTGAGAGAAGCAGACCCAGGGAGAAGGGTTGGCACACGGCTGCAACGATCTCCAACGCCAGGCCCATGGTGAGGACGTGGAGGACCGGGCAAGCGTTTCTTCTCCTGCACAGGTGCGAGCTGACTCCACCGACAGCCCCTGACAACAGCCAGTCCGCCACACATGTGTGTGGCGCGAACGCTCCCGCTCGCAGCCCTCCACGGCTGGCAGAGGCATTTTAAAACACGCATGCTTGTGAGGCCGGCAGCCCTGACCGCAAGACGTCGCAGCTGACCCTCCTCCACGCAGATCGGGGGGCCGGGACGCCCACGCCGCCTCTGTGGAGTTTCAGGGGCGCTCCCTGCGATGCCTCCCTGCCCACAGCTCAGCCGCTCTGCCGGTGAAGGCAGGGCTGCGGGGCTCTTCAAAGCCGTGTCCCTGAAGGTAATGGACAATGGCCTCCGTCACCCCGCAGAGGGCGGTGCAGGCAGGTCCTCGTGAAGGGAGACCAAACTCACTGCCGCTGAGTCGGTGCTGACTCCCAGTGACCCTACTGGGCAGGGCAGACTGTCCGTGTAGGTTTCCCAGAATGTAACCGCTAACAGGAGTAGAACGCCCATTTTCTCCCTCAGAACGGCTACTGGTTTCAAACTGCTGACCTTCCGGATCACAGCCCAACACATAATAACTACTATGCCACCAGGTGGCAACTCTTTGGACTACTCCAGAGAGCCCTTGGAAAGAGGTTTCTAATATAAAATGTTACCATCCTTCAACGCTGGCTACCAGCTATTAAAATATGCATGCTGTGTGTGTGCCCAGTCAGATCGATCCCAGTGACCCTAGGGTTCAGAGTGGAAGTGCTTCAAAGGTTGTCCAAGGCTGTAGATCTTTAGGGAATCAGACGGCCTCATCTTTCTACCCAGGAGCGGCTGCTGGGTTTGAACCACCGGCTTTTCAGTTAGTAACCAATTGCTTAACAGCACCATCCCCAGAGCACCTTGTGTGTTTTAACAAAACAGCTCCCACAGATCTCTGCAAACACACGTTCATGTGTTCATCACCAAGGGTCCCCGCTGCCCTCGGCGTAAACCAACTGTGAGAACAGCCTTTCCATGCCAGCCCAGTGAGGACAGTGGTCACTTGCTGGACTGCAATCTGAAAGGTCAGCAGTTCGAACCCACCCACCACTCCGCAGGAGAGAGACGAGGCTTTCTGCTCCTGTAGAGAGTGACCGTCTCGAGGAAGCACCGGGCAGTTCTCCCTGTCCTGCAGCGTCTGGGGAGCCGGCATCAGCTCCGTGGCTGGGAGCGAGTGCGGCATCAGCAGCGGCAGTGGTGGTTGTTATGCTAGCTGCCGTCCAGTCAGCCCACGCTCACACTGACCGTGGAACGACACAAGGAAACCCAGCCCGGTCCTGCACCATCCTCAGGGTTTCGGGTTGTACTTTGTCCGGGTGGGTCGCTCTGAGTCGGCATCGACTGGACAGATAGGAGTTTGGGTGCCTGTTTGTCCACCGCCCTCTTACAGACAGAATGACAGATGCCCAGCAACACACACACAACCTGTATCGGAAGAGCGAGCCACATTCTAATCTCAGGCTCAAAGCAGGTGCCCGTAGTCCCTAGGGTGGAAGAAATGCAAGCCCTCCCAGAGGGGCACCCATGCTGGCATGGCCCCGCAGCCCACTGCCCTAAACAGAGAGGCCCGAGAAGAAGCGAATTTCCAAATCGGACATTACTTGTATTCGCTGGTGTAGGCGGTGAGGTCCCTGTCGTTCCGTATCCACTTGAACTCCAGAGGCCAGCTCCCCTCCGCCAGGCAGGTGAGCACAAGGCGGTTCCCTTCCAGGTGGGTCTGCGGCAGCCCGGGCTCCGTCTTAAAATAGGGGGCCACGTCACCTGTGAGATTGGAGGGGGAGGAGAAAAAGAAAACAGAATGAAGCACAAATAAAAATTGCCTTCATCCAATTAACAACTCGATTGCTTAAAGAATCTCTTTAAAAACAAAGCAGGACACTGGATGGCCCGCTGGCCCAATTAAGTAGCAAATGACCCTTGAGCCCCAGAAGCATGCCACTGCCTATTTCAGAGAGCCGGCTGCTGGGTGATGGCCCCCAGGGGCGGGCGCACTGTTATATGTGGATGTCGGCTTATGCAGGACAAGCCCCCCTTGAACACACCTTGCTTTTAACTGGGCCCTCTAGAGGGGCTTTGGGAAGTTCATGGGGAAGAGGAACGGAATGTTTCCATGAATGTTTTGAAATCCCTTCACATTTCCAAAGTCACAATCGAGGCCCATAGATTCCCAAACGTCGTTGGCCCACCGCCTGCTCTTTAGAAAAAGTTAGTCAGCGCCCCACTGGCAATTTTACAAACTTTTGTGGCACCGGCTACAATCCAGGTTCCAGTGCAGGAACCGGCTTCCGCAGCCCCCTCTGGATTGCTCCGGCGCCCCCTCCAGGGGGCTGTATCGCCTGCTTTGGGAGATACTACATCTAGGCAACCTGTGACAAATGTCCTTAGAGGGCCTTCTGGGCTTGTTGTTGCTGTTTTAAAGACCAGCGTCATCGAGATTAGCACACATGGGGGAACAGACCACACGCCAGCTTGAGTTCACAAGATAGACAGTTTCTTTCGGCAACTTTCAACAGGATATACCCGGAAGTGCTTAGTACCTTCGTACAAAACCACACCCCCAGCTCGCCCCCACGGAGCCAATGTTGATTCATATCAACTCCCTGTGGGTTTCCCGACACTGTGGACCGGAGTAGAAAGCCCAGTCTTTCTCCTGAGCAGCTGCTGGTGGATTTGAACTGCTGACCATGCGGATCGCAGCCCAACGCGTCACCAGGGCTCTATCCTACAAGGGGATGCTTTATGAGAATGAGCCGCCTCCCTGACGTAGACGGACGCTGACACATCACAGACACATAAGATGTGGAGTGGAAGAAGCCGGTGAGGGAGAAGGAGGTATCTTCAGGCACCTTACGATGGAGAGAGACCAAGATGGGCCATATGCCAAGAAATTATAGCTTCACCTTTTGATAGTCCTGTTCAATGAAAGTTCCTATGGGTCTGTGCCCATGCATTTTGACTTACCCTCATATACGTATCAGCTCACTTAATTCTAAGGCCCTCAGCAATACGTGGGGTGATTATATCCTTATTACAGAGGAGCAACGAGTGGTGCAGAGAAATAGCGGAGCCGGCTCCAGGTCACCTAGTGCTTAAACCCAGACGAGACGCCTCTAAGACCATCCCAATCAAACCTGCTGCCTTCGAGTCAGTGCGACTCAGAGCCACCTGGTGCTGGTTGTCCTTGTGGGAGTGGACAGCCTCATCTCTGCCCTATGGGCATCCGGTGAGTTTGAGCCACTGACCTCCAGGTTAGCAGTCCTGCGCTTACCAGAGCCCAAGAGGCCCCCGCGCTTATCTAAACACCAAGACCGAATGGCCGCAAGCTTCTCAAGGATCCATAGGTTGACTTCAATGTTTTGACATTTTACTTGTGGGGTTGCTAAGCTGGATTTTTAAATCAAATGGCTTCGTCTTTAACAAATTAAACATTGATTAGCATATTGACAAGATTCCTATTGACACTACAGTGGCACATTAAACTGGGGCACAGACACCCTTCTCTGTGCTGAGTACAGAGAGTTTAAATACGTTGAGTGTATACGTTGCACCACTGGGTTGATAAGCATATCCCATCGTGACTGGAACGCAGCCTTATCCATCTCCTACCAGTCGTCCTTCATCTCTTCACTCAAGTGAGGGCGCTTTACATTGCAGTCCCCCCTTCTTTTGGAAGTCGTGGGATGTTCAGTAGTCCTCATCCCACACCGTGTTTCAAATGCCCCGACCCCCAGGGCGTCCTGTTCACTGTCCAGCTCATTGTTTGCACCGCGCAATCTGAAAACACACGGGTGAGCCCGGCGCTCCTGGGTCCTCAGACCGACAGCTAGGCACCTGGTTGCTGTCCGGGCCGTCGAGTTGGTTCCCACTCCTCGCGCCCCAATGCACAACCCAACAGAGCCACGCCGGCCCGGCGCCATCTGCCCCATTCCTCCCATGCTTGAGCCCGCTGTTGCAGCCAACGTGGCCATCGAGCCATCTCGTCGGGGACTGTCCTCGTGATTTTGCTGCCCCTTCACTTTCCCTGGTGGTGTAGTGGTTACGCATTGTGCTGCAATCTGAAAGGTGGGCAGTTTGAAACCAGGAGATGCTCCGAGGGATAAGGACAGGCTTTCTATTTCCCTGAGGCGTTTCCGTCTCAGAAACGACGCACGAGGTCATAGGGCCCATATGAGTTGGCGCTGACTCAATGGCAGTGAGTGAGAGAGAGGTACTTTCCCAAGCATGATGCCCTTCTCCAGAGACTGATGTCTTCTGACAACGTGTCCAAAGTGTGTAAGTCTCTCCATCCTTGTCTCGGGCTGTGAAGGCATGCATTCTCCGTCAGTCTTCTTGATTCGATGTCCAGCATCCACAGGCACATGAAAGCAGGCCCCGGAGAAGGAGAGCATGCTGGGAAAGCAGAGGGGCAGGGAAGGAGAGGGAGGCCCTCAAGGAGAGGACGGGCACTGTGGCTGCAGCAGTGGCTCAGGCACGGGAACAACGGTAATGATGCGGATGGCGCAGGCACGTTCGGTTGCGCATCAGGCTGCTGTGGGTGGGAACTGACTGGATGACACCTGGCCACAGCAACAACTGAAGGTGCCATGGCTTGGGCGAGGGGCACGTCAGTCCTCAAAGCAGGCTCTCTGCTTTCTACACACTAAAGGGGTCTTCGGTAGCGATTTACCCAATGCAATGGATCACTTGATCTCTTGAGTGCAGTTTCATGGGCTTTGATTTGGATCCAAGCAGGATAAATCCTTGGCCCCGCCCATCTTTCCTCTCTTCATCGGGATGTTACCTATGGGTCCAGTGGTGAGGATCTTGGACTTCTCTCCGTTGAGTTGCAGTCTGTACTGAAGGCTTCCATTCTTGCAGCACAGTTGTTTGCAGTACAGTGTGTATATCCATCCTTTGGTGTCTAGACTGCTGTTTCATGTGGGCTGCTGATAGAACACGGGAAAATAAAATCCTTGACGGCGACGTCAATATTTTATCCATGTATCCCATGCTGCTTGCTGTCCAGCTGTCAGGGTTTGGTTTCTGTAAGTGTGTGCCACGGGAAGCTTGCAGCCTCTGATCTGCAGCAGCAAGTGCTTCCGGTCTTCCTGGTTTTCAGCAAGCGGGGAGGTGGCATCTGTCCTCTGCACACCACAGGTTGTTCATGCGCCTTCCTCCAGCCCGGATGCCGTCATCTTCTTCCTGCAGCCCCGCGTCTTAGATTGTTTGTTCGGCATGCGCACTGAGCACGTGCGGAACGGACTCAACCCTGACACACCCCTTCCCTGACTTAAACCACCCCGTCCTCCCTTGTTAGACCGCCTGCCTCTTAGTTCCTGTACAGACTCCTCATGAGCACAGGTGGCCCCAAATCCCCATTCTCCTCAGTGCTAGCCACCGTTTGTCATGACCCACACAGTCAAATGTCTTTGTGAGTCACTACGACACAGGGAAACATCTCTGATATACTCTGCTTTCAGCCAAGATCCAGCTCACTTCCACCAGGATTTCTCTCCCTCCGTGCTCTCTTCTAATTCCACCTTGAATTTCTGGAAGTTCTCTATCGATGTATTGCTGCAAGAATTTAGAAATTGTCTCCAGCAAAACTGGACTTGTGTGTGACATCAACAATCCCCACGCTCTGCTGGGTCACCTTTCTTTGCAATGGACACCAAGGTGGATCTTGTCCGGCTGCTTTGCGACATGGCCACCTTCCAAATTTCTTGGAATAGAATAGATGGGTGAGCATTTCCAGAGTGGCCTCCATTTGTTGAAGCATCTTAATTTGTATTCCATCAATTCCTGAGCTTTGATTGCCACCAGTGCCTTCAGTGCAGCTTCAATTTCATTCTTTCAGGATCGTCGGCTCTTGCTCGTAAGCAACCTCCTGAAGAGGTTGACGATGGACCAGTTATTGTTGGCCCGGTGACTCTGTGTATTCCTTTCATCTTCTTTGATGCGTTCGGTGTCACTCAATATTTGCCCTTGGCATCTTTCAATAGTGCAACTCAAGGCTTGTGTTTTCAGTTCTAATCCATTAGCTTGAGAAACGCTGCGCAGGTTCTCTTTCGGTCTGCTAACCTGTCTGCACATTTCATGCTAATGCTCTACTTTGCATGTCTCCTCTAGTTGCCCTCTGGCCTTCCTCGCTCAGCTCTTTGACGTCAGTGCTTCTGCCATTGGCTGTAGTGGCTCTACACACAACAGCAAAGGCCACAGCTCCTTCAGGCAAATGCCTTGCTCTTTTCCGCTTCTCTTTTCCTGCCTCTTTCATGACCTCCTGTTTTCTTCATGGACGATGCTCCTGAGGCCACCCCACATTTATCTGGGCTGTATTCAT